GCCCAGTCTCCATTGTTGTCTCAGCATGCCCCGGGGGCAAGGCCAGCATGGCAGGCCTGGGGATCAAACCCCTGGTCCGCGCGCCTGCTTGCAGATGCTTTAATCCACTGAGCTATTTGGCTGGCCCTTGTTTTTTGGTTCTTTTGATTGTTTTTTTTTTTTTTTGTTTTTTGGGGTTTTTTTTTTGAGGGGCGGCAGCACTGGGGATCAAACTCAGGCCCTTGCACTTGCCAGGAAAGCACTTCTTCCACTGACCTATCTCCCCAGCCCTGAGTGGGGGCACTTATGATGCTTGGCTCTTTCCTAACAATCCTTCCTTGCTATCTCTGCTAAGAGAGATAAAAGCCTACGATGGTGGCTGCTAGCACCACATCATCAATGAAGACTGAGAGAGTGTGTGTGTCCGTGTCCCTGTGTCCATCCCGTGGGCTGGTTCTTTCTGCACACTGTGGCTAGCATGCTGTGATTGTGAATATGGTGTCGCAAGAACATACATTCTTCAAATTTGATGCGAGACGGTGGGAAAGACCCCAAATTTGGGGCTTTTTTTTTAACCAGAAGTCTCAGTTTCTTCAACAAAGATTATTAATTTTATAGATACTTTATGAAAATTGAGGCAATATCTTTTTAATGATCAAAAATATAATAATGAAGAAGAGACTCCATGCACAGAGCTGAAATCCTGTGGCTTAACCCGCAGCGTGAGAGCCGGGTAGTGAGCAGGACTGCTGTCCGTGGACTCACAGCCCACCCAGCGGCAGCTGCGCACTGCGTGCTGCCGCCATGCTCACTGGCCCCTAGAGGAGACTCAGGTGACCTTCTGGTGTAGTTTCCGCCCCCAGAGGATGTCGTTTCCCTGGGACAATCAGATGGATATACATAAAAAAAGGAAAACACTGTTTTACAAAAAGCTCAAGGCCGGCCAAATAGCTCAACAGATCAAAGTGCCTGCAAGCGGTGCAGGGGCCAGGGCTTCCATCCCCAGGCCTGCCGTGCCAGCCCCTCCCCTGGGACGCGCTGAGAAGGCAACTGAGACTGTATGTCTCAATTGTGTGTGTGTGTGTGTGCGTGTGTGTGTGTCTGTGTGGTACATGATGGCACATGCCTGTGATCCAGCTCTTGGGAGGCTGTAAACAGGCAGATCACTACGAATCTGATCTAGTATTAAAACCCTGAACACCCTGTAGACCGTTCCCTAAAACATAGAAGAAAAAAAAGCTGCACCTTCCTTAGGAGGCGCTGACACTTGGCCCAAGGAGCACACATTGATTGGCAGACAGGACACAGCCTCCCCTTTCACTCTGAGTAAATAAGCAAAGGCTTCTTAAGTCCGAAGTGTGAATATTCAGAGAGAGCAGCGCAGAGAGACTAGCCTGTGCGAGTTGCTGCCATCGATCCCTAAAAGCTTGGTCTTCCAGAGTAGAAAAGGATCTCAGAAAGGAGCCCATTTTATACAGGCTGAAATTAACACTTGGTAGGATTAAGGGAGTTGTCCAAGTTAGTACACAGCAGAACCATAGCTAAGACTGAGGATTCCTAAATCCAAGCAGTGTATAATATGCAGAGGATTTCTTAAAATTACCCTTCGCATAGAAACACATAATCTCAGATTCACCACTCTTCCCCTGTGGGATGGAGTTTGGCAGCCAAAAGCGCAGGGGCTGGAGGTGTATTTCTGGTGTTGACACTACCCACGCTTACGTGCACCACCAACAATACCATGCACATGGTAGGGCCCCAACCAATGCCGTGCACATAGTAGGGCCCTTGCCGAACCCCACTGCGTGATCGCCGGCTGCAAGAGCAGCACTCCTGTTTCTCATCCCACTCAGGGAGTGCTCTACAGCGCGGCAGGTCTTGGGCAGGGCAGTGGCAGTGAGTCATCAGACACGGGAAGGGAGACGAGGGAAGGGGCTGCTGCCCCAGGAGGAGGGCCTATTTCACCGCAAGCTTCACAAGGTGCTGGTCTCCTTATTATCCAGGGGAAACGGTAAGTAAGCCACTGCTTCACTGACTTCTGTCACTTTTAACTCTGGCTAACTATGACCTCCGGTGACTACTTAGAAGATTTTCAATGATAAAACATCCCATAGTGACCTCTTCCTATCTTGTCTTCATCCTGCTTGGGCAGAAAAATGCAGAGCATAGAGCAAATTAACTTCACTACTAGATCATTTTCTTCATGGAAAGTCACTCATAAGACCCATCTCTGGCTGTGGTGAC